GGGGGAAACCTTTTCGCAATGGGGCATGGGTGGGCGCCGGATGCCACCGGAAACGCGATCAGACGCCTGCCCTTGCCCCGCGGTTTCCGGAAACTAGTACCTCTGGGGTACTAGTTTTTTACTGCACATCTTCGGCGGGAAGCCTCGGGAGCTCTATGCTTCCCAGATGTGGCGGTGAGATCACGCCCGGAAAATCCGCCATCTTCCGTCCCTCTAGCGTGGCTAATGCTCCGTGTGACCGGGGCCTTAAAAAATGAGCCAGTTTGCCTTGGCAAGGCGGGATATAAATCAGAATAAATAAATAAATAAATACAATACTAGATGCCACACTGAAGTTTCTTGGTGCCGTGGTAACCTGGTGCCTGGGATTTGTAAAGCTCAGCTGTAGAAAGATTTTGTCCATACCAAGTTTTCCAGTTTGTCCATACCAAGATGGGGGTTGTAGAATGGGGGAAAGGACTTACCAAATGCTTCCATGTGACTGTCATCTTCTGAATTTCTGCATCAGATAGTTATACAAGAACTGGTACAGAAACACAGCAGAGATGGCAGGCCTCAGGTGAGATTGCGTAACAAAGCCCCTGTTCTAAAGAGCAGGAGACAGACCACAGCCACATCAAGTCAAAGGTTCACGGTTCCAATTCCAGCAGTGGCCAGATAGATGCTTCTAGAACATCTGCTAGATCAGACCAGCGCGCCATCTAGTCTCACATCCTGCCTCACACAGTGGCCAACCAGTTATTCTGGAAGGCCAATAACAGGGCTCGGGGGCCGAGGCCTTCCCCTGACGTTGCCTCCTGGCTCTGGGATTCAGTGGCTTACCGCCTCTTATCGTGGTGGTAAACCACAGTAAGTCACTATGGCTAGTAGCCACCGATGAACCTATCATCTACGTGACGTTCAGAATACGCTCTGGACTCTTCTCGCGGCACCTCAGCTGTTAGAAGCCTGGACGTCCAGATTCAGTTGGGACAGCCCAGGAAACCTCCCAGAACTCACTGAGACTTCTGGGTAGACAGAGGGGCCGCCATGACCGAAATTACCTATTGAGGTCCCAGAGACAGGAATTCAGGATAACGACATCTGGTGCCGGGTCGGCCTTAAAGTCTTCCAGGATACTTTCCATGTAGTCCGAGCAAATGCGGGTGATGAAGTAGAAACGCACGAGGTGGTGGTCCGTTCGGTACTGGCGCACCTCCCGGTAATTGGTCTCCCTGTGTAGGCCTTCAAATTCCACTCGGTGGTCCCCCTTGAAGGTCTCTCCACCCTGCAAGCGGAGATCACCATTAACGCAAGGCCCCTCCGAGGTCACTTCTAACAAGAGTATCGGTCACACAAGGGCTTGATAGAAGCCTATTTCTTTCTATTTATGGTATTTCTAAGTCCGCCTTTCCCACAGGGATTCAAGGCGGATTCCACAGAGTGAGTCTGTACAATCAACAACATGGGACGTTCAATAAACAACGCATTGGGGTTGCGGGAGTCTGGGACCAACCAGAAAGAACGGAAGCAGAGCATGTATTCAGCTTCTGCATCCTCCCCCCCCCCTTACTACCTATATATCTCTGGCCAATTTCTTCATCCCCTCCATGCACCTGATAAAGAGAGCTGTGTTTCTCGAAAGCTTACACTACTATGAGGTTTGTTAGTCTTAAAGGTCTCCCTGTGTAGGCTTTTTACAGTTGAGTACCGGATCCGCTCTGAGAGCCAGTTTGGTGTCGTGGTTAAGTGTGCCGACTCTAATCTGGGGGAACCGGGTTTGATTCCCCATTCCTCCACTTGCACCGGCTGGATGACCTTGGGCAAGCCATAGTTCAAGCCTTGTAGGGCCTGACGTCTCGCCAGCAGCTGTGACTGGCATCCTCAGAGGTATGACACAGAAAGATGGGAGTACTCTCTGTGTCAAGGTGAGAAGGAAAATGGCAGGCAGGTAATTTATATCTACTCAGGAAGGTGGGGTAGGGCGGAGTCATTATCTTGTAGTGCCTTGCAGTTGTGGACAGGTGTACATCGTGATCACACAGCGCAGCATTCAGACAAGAATAAAAGAACACGAAAGACACTGCAGACTGGGCCAACCTGAAAAACCCGCAGTGGCTGAACATAGCCTAACTCAAACAGGACAAAGTATCTTGTTCCAAGACACTGAAATGCTGGACAACACATCCAATTACCGTGTCAGATTACACAGGGAAGCCATTGAAATTCATAAACATAAAACACAAGTTCTACAGGAAAAGAACATAAGAGAAGCCAATGTTTGATCAGGCCAATTGCCCGTCTAGTCCAACACTCTGTGTCACACAGTGGCCAAAACCCAGGGGCCATCAGGAGGTCCATCAGTGGGGCCAGGACACTAGAAGCCTGGACACTAGAAGAAGAGAGTTTAAAAATAAATAGGGCATGGTTTCCTGTCCTGAAAAACACAAAAGGCTCTACATCTTACAACAGCACTACAGATAAGATTAGAAGTTCAACAGCCAATCCACATGCAAAAGAACCTCCTCAGGAAAGCTCCTCCGTTAGCATGTTTCACAGCCTGGGGAACTCCGACTAGATAATGACTCAGCCCTACCCCACCTTCCTGAGTAGATATAAATTACCTGCCTACCGTTTTTCTTCTCACCTTAACATAGAGAGCACAGTTCCCTCTAAGCTGAGATGGTGTGAGCTAGCTCACAGATTTTTAGCCTCCGGCTCACAGATTTCTGTCTCAGCTCAGGAAGGATGGCTCCAGAGCAAACTGATTTATGCAGCAGCTAAATTGCTCGCTCACAACTTTAATGCCAGTAGCTCACAAAGTAGAATTTTTGCTCACAAGATGCCACAGCTTAGAGGGAACATTGATAGAGAGTACTCCATCTTTCCGTGTTATACCTCTGAGGATGCCAGTCACCGCTGCTGTCAAAAGTCAGGCCCTAGAAGGCCAAGACCATGGCTGTACAGCCCGGGAAATCCACCACAGCTAATGAACTCCCAGCCTTGTGAAAGCCTTCGACAACTTAACAATAGATGACCCATGAAAGCGAGCCACACAACTCCGTGCAGTGAAAAGCACACAGCACTTCCAGGCTCCGCTGTCGGTGGTTGAGGTGCCAATTCTGGGTTGGGGAGTACCTGGAGATTTTTTTTTGTGGGGGGGGGAGCCTGTGGAGGCTGGAGCTTGGAGAGGGAAGGGCCTTAGGGTCCATACCCCAAAGCAGCCATTTTCTCCAGGGGAACTGATCTCTGTCATCTGCAGAGCGGTTGCAATTCTGGGAGATTTCCAGGTACCACTGACAAGCATGAGCAAACTCCACTCGGGGTGTGCGTGTGTGTGTGTGTGGGGAGGTATGTGTGAATTTCCTGCCTTGTGCAGGGGGTTGGGCTAGATGACCTCGGAGGTTCCTTCCCACTCTATGGTTCCATGATCCACCGACTGGGTCTTCCTTGCAGGAAGGACCAAACCGCGACAAGACCAGCGACACGAGAACTATTGGCCTAGGATTTTTGAGGGTTGTCCTTAGGAAAATCGTCGCCCGGCTCCTCTATCGAGAAAAGCAAACAAACCGCAGTCCAGACAGCTGGCGACGAAACTCGTGCTGCGGCCAACAGTGCGAGAGCGGCTTCCCAAAGCAGGGCTTATGCCTAAGAGGGTTACAAGAAAACACGGGTTGCTAAGGAGGATCCAAACGAGAGCGTACTTTCACTTTCAGCTCGGAACGGGTGAGCAGTCTTCCGCTCTGGAGAAAGCACACCAGGTCCTTGTAAATCGTTCGCTGAACTGCAAAGGGGAAAAAAAAAGAAGAAGATTTGGTACCGGAGCAGGGGGTCCATCGGTGGCTATTCACTGAAAGGCATAGAGGGAACAATATGTTGTCGAAAGCTTGCACAGCCAGAGTTCCTTAGTTACTGTGGATTTTCCGGGTTGTGTGGCCGTGGCCTTGGCATTGTAGGACCTGACGTTTCCCCAGCAGCTGTGGCTGGCACACTTAGAGGTATAACACAGAAAGAAGGAGTACTCTCTGTGTCTTGATGCCAGTCACAGCTACTGGCGAAACATCAGGTCCTACAACGCCAAGACCACGGCCACACAACCCGGAAAAGCCACAGCAATATAGAGGGAATACTCTGTCTGGGGCAGTGATGCTCTGTATTCTTGGTGCTTGGGGGGGCCACAGTGGGAGGGCTTCTGGTTCTGGCCCCGCTGGTGGACCTCCTGACGGCCCCCTTGGTTTTGGCCACTCTGTGACACAGAGTGTTGGACTGGATGGGCCACAGGCCTGATCCAACATGGATTCCCTCATGCTCTTTTGTTCTTAATGCACTCACACGCAAACAAGGACCAAGAGGCAGCCTCAAAACACACAGGGTTTTCCTTAGCAGGGAGCATACCAGGTTCTCAGAAACACGTGGTCCGTTTGCTCTAACTTCATTTATACACAAAGCAGCTTACGTTGTTCTCCTCGCTTCTATCACGGTGTAGTGGTTCAGAGCGGCGGACTCTAATCTGAAGAACTGGGTTTGATTCCCCACTCCTCCTCTGCATGAAACCTGCCGGGTGGCCTTGGGCCAGTCACAGTTCTCTCAGAGCTCTCTCAGGCCCAGCTACCTCACAAGGGCCTGTTGTGGGGATAGGAAGGGAGACGCCTTCAGGTAGAGTCCAGCAGGGTAGAAAAACGTCTTCTTCTTCCATTTTGGATTTGCAATAACCTCGTGAGCAGTGTTCCCTCTAAGCTTAGTGTGAGCGAGCTCACAGTTTTTTAAGCCTCCAGCTCACACATTTTTGTCTCAGCTCAGGAAGGAGGGCTCCGGAGCAAACCAATTTAGGCAGCAGCCAAATGGCTCGCTCACAACTTGAATGCCGGTAGCTCCCAAAGTAGAATTTTCGCTCACAAGACTCCACAGCTTAGAGGGTGGATTGCTCATGGGGTAGGTCAGGCTAAGAGCGTGTGACTGGCCCAAAGTCACCCAGCAAGCTTTCAAGGCAGAATGGAGAGTCGAACCCGAACCCGAGTCTTCCAGATCCTAGAGAAGACCCCAATTGGGGTCGCCAACCTCCAGGTGCAGCCTGAAGATCTCCTGGCATGACAACTGACCTCCACACTATGGATACCAGCTCCCCTGGAGAAAAGTGTCTGCCTTGGAGGATGAAATCAACGGCATTATACCCCAACAAGGGGGCGGGACCCGCGATACTCGCGGGGGGGAGGGACCTCCACACAGGAGGCAGAGGCCAAGCGGCAGTGGCGAGGGAGTTTGCAGAGCGTTCCCTGCGCAGGCACAGGGGACGCTCTGTTACTTTTGGGGGGGTTTAAGTATCCCCCCGATATTTTTTTCAGGTTTTAAGATTTTTGTGCACACCTGGGGACCGTACCGTGTGTGCACAAAAATCTCCCTCCCCCCAGGTGCCCCCGATGTGCGGATTTAGGTATCCGCACACAGGGGGCATCTTCGGAATTAGATATATAGATGACGTCCGTCTCAGGCTCCCAAACAAACAGAGGCTGGAAGGCGAGGAACAAGTGTGACTGCAAGAATCAAAGAAATATCGCTGACCCACGTGCTAATAAAATGCGTTTCCAATGGGCAGCTCATGTGGTCCCGGAAGATCAGTGGTCTGTTGCAAGAAAAAGCCCACAAAAGGGATGCTGACGCTCGGGAAGCGACGTAGAGTCACACTTCCAGGGGAAAAACGAAGCCAGGACGCCAAAGGCAGCTACTCCTAACCCTCACATACATAACCCCGCCTGGGCTTTTCAGCTAAGCATCTATTGCAAAGAGGAGAGGCACAGATCCATTTCCTATCCAGCTGCCTCAAATATTTCATTTTATTTCATTTAGGCCCCCGTTAACACTGTAACGGGGACACAGAGAGGCTTACACGATTCTCCCTCTCCTCCATTTTATCCTCCCAACAACACTGTCAAGGTAGATTAGGCAGAGAGTGTGCAGTTCAACAGTGGCTCGGTGGTAGAGCATCTGCTTGGCAGGCAGAAGGTCCCAGGTTCAATCCCCGGCACCTCCAGTTCAAAAGGACCAGGCAGGAGGTGATGGGAAAGACCTCTCTGCCTGAGACCCTGGAGAGCTGTAAAGAGGGGCTGTGGCTCAGTGGTAGAGCATCTGCTTGGCAGGCAGAAGGTCCCAGGTTCAATCCCCGGCACCTCCAGTTCAAAAGGACCAGGCAGGAGGTGATGGGAAAGACCTCTCTGCCTGAGACCCTGGAGAGCTGTAAAGAGGGGCTGTGGCTCAGTGGTAGAGCATCTGCTTGGCAGGCAGAAGGTCCCAGGTTCAATCCCCGGCACCTCCAGTTCAAAAGGACCAGGCAGGAGGTGATGGGAAAGACCTCTCTGCCTGAGACCCTGGAGAGCTGTAAAGAGGGGCTGTGGCTCAGTGGTAGAGCATCTGCTTGGCAGGCAGAAGGTCCCAGGTTCAATCCCCGGCACCTCCAGTTCAAAAGGACCAGGCAGGAGGTGATGGGAAAGACCTCTCTGCCTGAGACCCTGGAGAGCTGCTGCCAGTCTGGGTGGACAGTACTGACGATTCAGTAGAAGGCAGACTCAAGTATTCACGTGGAACCTGGGTCTCCGACATCCTAGTCTGGCATTCTGACAACCACATCACACGGGCAGCTAAAGAGAGTTTAGCAAAATACTCACTGGAATCACCTAAAATCACGACAAATTTATTGTGAAGCAGCTGCTGGACTTCTTCGGAAGAGAAATCATATAAGTCCCCGAAGGGAAGTTTGGCCATGGCGGCAGTCCTTCGGCCTGGCCGCTGGTCTTCTCCTGCAAGGAGACAGAGGCGCGTGAGAGGAGAGAAAGAAAAAAGAACATCGTCTGAAAATCCGACCCCTTTTTACACCCCAGCAAAGAACTGCAAGTTTGGCCATGGCGGCAGTCCTTCGGCCTGGCCGCTGGTCTTCTCCTGCAAGGAGACAGAGGCGCGTGAGAGGAGAGAAAGAAAAAAGAACATCGTCTGAAAATCCGACCCCTTTTTACACCCCAATCTGCTTCTTCTTCCAGTTCTGCTGCTGCTGCTGCGTCATCGTAGGTTTGCAGCTTACAGAGACACACCTGAACAGCAGACTCAAGACTGCCACAGCACTGACATTTTGATGCAATAATTTAGAGCAAGAGGC